TAATAATTTAATAATTTTAATACTAAGACAATAGGAATTAAAATACATAAAACTCAAAATATTATTTATTAAAAGAATACATAATGGTGTTTTTTAATAGAAAAAGCACTTTTTGTTGTGTAGTTTGAATACAAAAATTATAAAAAAAATTTATTAATGAATAAATTTAAATGACAATTTTATTAAAGTTATATAAGTAATTTCAATATGTAGACAATATAATAAAAATACAGTTCTTACTAAAAATCACTTTAAAAAAATGATAACAACTCCTATTTTGTAAACCAAATTATATTACACTCAATTTAAATTACAAAATATAAATAATTAGATCAAAAAATTATTTTATAAGATGAATTATATGTAATTCGTTTTATAAAATTATTTAAATGTTTTTAAAAAATAATATAAAATTAAAATTAAAAACATTTAAATAATTTTATGAAATAAATTACATACAATTTATGACGTGAAATAGTTTTCAATAATTAGATAAAAAAAAATCCAATATCAAGAAGGTTACCTCTCATCCACCTATCATTGTTGTGCAGTCCGCACCGGACTGCAAAACAGTTCTCTGAAAGAATAATAATTAAAAACAGTTTTGGTTATTAAAAAGTAAAATGTCATTTATCATTTCTTGTGTCTCTTGAACTCGAAGCAAAGAAGCAAGAAGAGAAGGGAAAGGTGTGGAGAGGGAGAAATCCCTGATCTTGAAAGCTTCAAAATTTCGAAAGGATCATAACCCTATAATTCTTTGAAACAAAATTTTATTTTAGGTTTTCGATTTTGGGCGCACAGACAATGAACTCCTCCTCCAGCAACAGCACAAACTGCGATAGCAATAGCAGTAACATCAATTCCGGCGGTGTCAACCGAGATCTTGACTCGTACTTCCTGGAACTGGCTCGGCTTGCCTCGTCTCCGACTCCCGCAGATATGGACGAGGATGAAGAGGCGCCCACGGAGCTCAATACTATTAACAGCTCCGGTGGGTTCATGGTGGTGGCGCCGGATAAATTGTCGATTAAGTACCCGAGCGTAAACCTCCATGGGCACGATGTAGGAGTCGTCCAGGCCAACAAGCCGGCGCCTACGAAGCGGCTGTTATACTACTTTGAGATTTATGTGAAGGATGCTGGGGTTAAGGGACAAATGGGCATTGGATTCACCAGAGAGAATTTCAAGATGCGAAGGCAGCCCGGGTAAATATGGGGCTTTTTTTTTCCTTTTTATTCTTTATTATTAGGTGAACTGTGTTGCTTCATTATGGAATTTATTTCGATTCCTATGCCTGGTAACTGAATCTTTTGCTTTAGTTGGTTGCTGGAAAAAGAGA